ATATTTGCTGGATTTACATAACCTTGAAAAGGTAGATAAGCCGTAAAAAATCTAACAGATTTTATTGCAGTACATTGCTATAATTGTTGTATTTTATTAGTTATTGTTGTTAATCTCTTATTGCGCCTACTTAGATCTACGGTAAGAACGAAGTTTCTGGCCATCATATAACTTTTATGTCAGTATATTGCTATAATTGTTGTATTTTATTATTAATAATTATTAATCTCTTATTGCGTCTAATAAGATATTCTATTCATCACGTCACTTTGATTATCTTATATTTTTAGGTTCATTCTATTTTATTAATATTTCTGCTAATCCAGTAATGTTCCGGATATGCGATAATTAAGAATATTATATCGTTCATATATCATATATTCCAGTATATTCTTACATTTAATCGATTTTACAAGTAGTGCCTCATCTGTGTCTGAGCACTGAGCACTGAGATCGCTACGAAAAAATAAGTGTTGAAGAATTGAAAATACGCAAGTGAAAACAATTTTCATACATTTATTTTATTGGTGCCACTTGAAAAGTTGGTCGCATTGTTGGTCTTTGTTGGGCTGGATGGTCATTTCGAAACATTGCAGCATATATTGAACAAAACGCATACGTGAGATTCCTTTGTCGACAACAATGATTCAATAAACATCGCAATAACATAGTCTAGCTTCTGGACGGGTAAATACTGCAGAGGCTCGCCAAAATAATTATCTTGTAAATGAAGCAATGCTAGAACGTATGGACTAGAAAAAAATGTGGCTCCAGTTGTATAAAAAATTACATTTGAGAATCGTTTACATGCAGCATTACTGCGAACAGGCGTGGCAAACTTAAGGTAAAGCCCCAAAACTGACGGACACAAATATATTGGTGTCGTGTGAGGGCCACCTGTGGTATCGAATTTTGCCATTTTGTATTGTTTGGTTTTTTGTGCAATTGTGAATATAGAAAGAGGACCTCACTCAGCTTTCTTCCAAAGCGGCCAGTGATTGCATCAATGGCTTCCTCATTTTCGTTTATGACACTTTTCACCAAACGATTGGAAAGGCCCGGTGGAAGATGACAATGAAACGAAAGATGGAAACAAACACCACGCCAAAATATGAAAACTAGAACAGCGTCTTCACTACGTTTAAGAGATTCACCTACTCGGTTTAGGTGGGTGGAAACGTAGGAGAATTTCTGCCATTTCGGACTAACGAATCAGCTCTTCCAAACGATCGGTATTAGAACTACCCGAGGGACAGTTGCGCTCCGATAAAGGCGGAGCAGATCTCACTCAATCCTAACTGTGAGTTGTTGCCGGAAGTTGCTATTGTCCGATTTCTTGTCACTTGACTTTTTTCATTTAATTTAATTATTATTTTATTCTCTTCCAGTCAAGTATAGTATACCTACTTTTAAAAAACGGAACAAAAAGATGTTCATGTTTGCAATCAGAAAGTAACACTTAAAATTTCTGGAACACGTAATGAGGAAAGAAGGTTTAGAATTTGTAACACTCGCTGGACACAGCGAGAAGGCGTGGAGTCAGATGTAAGACAACTGAGTAAATTACCTTAAGAAGTTGTGTCAATGGCAGAACAGAGACAAAGACGAATGGTACATACGCATAATGATCTTAGAAGGACAAAAATCAGGAAATTGTGGAGTACCATGATCTTCCATCTCTTGAAGGGAAAGGTCCATAAAAGAATAAGATAGTAATTAGAAAAAGTGTTTTATAGAGTTTAAACGTTCGTTTTTGATTTAGTCAATTGTATATAATGTACTAACTCAAACAACTCTGTTCAATTACAACTTTCTATTTGATACAAACGCACTTGTGACTGTCCATCGGCCTCCTGGACAATCAATATCACACACACACACACACACACACACACACACACATATATATATATATATATATATATATATATATATATATATATAACGTAGGTACATGTGTATTCATTAATATTCTTTATGGCTCTGTTCATCTACATTGAATACTGTTTTGTTTATATCATGAATTAAATAAACACTTATTTGCTTACCTGCATATGCATGGTATCACACACGTATATAGTTGCACATATCTTGTTATTTAGTTTATATCTACAAACACACACACACGCACACACACACACACACAAACTCTCTCTCACACACACACACACACACACATAGACACACACACACACATATATATATATATATATATATATATATATTGATTTTCTAAGCGCAGCTTAGATGTGGCACAAGGCCGAAAGTATGGTGCCCCCAGTGAGGATCGAACTTACCACTCAGTCGTAGTTGTTCTAGCGAGACAAGCTTGCTAACCTTTACACCACGTCGAGGTGCCCAAAAGATTTTCTAAGCGTAGCTTAGATGTGACACAAGGCCAAAAGTATGCGGCACCTAGTGAGGATCGGACTCATTACTCACTCCTAATTGTTGTAGAAAGACAATTTTACTAAACATTACACCACGTGGAGGCCCCCCCATGTATATATATATATATATATATATATATATATATAGAGAGAGAGAGAGAGAGCGACAGAGAGAGAGAGAGAGAGAGAGAGAGAGAGTGAGAGGTTGGAAATAAGAATTATGAATTTAGATGCTCTTGTTATCAACAAGAATAAAAAGTTTGGAAATCAAGAGGAGTAACTATTTTTATTTCATTTTTACTTTTGGTGTTAACCCAAAACAACACCTGAAGATTGCAAATGGCATGAAACTCTAAGTTCTGAAATCAATATCTGGTATTATGCATATGTTTAATATATCATGTGGGGATCATTATTTAAGATATTAAAATATTTGCGATATAACATCTCAAAGGTGCCAGTTTGTTTCGAGCCGATCACACCGTTTATGTGACCTGAATAGATAGTCAGTGTTACGAAAACGTTAACCAGAGACACATATTGGAAGAGAGTTCATCTGTCGAACATCATTTACTGACACAAAGGAAAGAGACAATTGGCCGATGATACTATCAGCTTTTAATTTCTCAATAATAGTTACTCTGATATCGAGCAAAATTGTCCAAACAAAATGTTTGGCACGTGAGAGAGGAGTTACAGCTATGACAGTCCAAAGAGCAGTGAAAAAAAAAGACGTGAAAATGAAATCGTACGTGACACCTTTCAGGCAAAATTGTTACCCCAGGATAGAAAGATAGAACGTTACAGAGGGCGAAGATCATCTTACTTATTATAAAACGTAGATTGTTTGTTTGTTTGTTTGTGTGTGTGTGTGTGTCTGTGTGTGTGTATGTACGTTTATATATTGGATCGGATTTCCTACATTTTTTAACCGATTTCAACAAAACTTCACAGGACTACGTAAAATTACCTTGCGGTGGTTCTGACAGCGCCAAAAATTGGAAAAACATAATTGTTTTTGCATGAAATCAATTTGAAAACACGATTAAGAGGCATTAATGAAAGGGGGACAACTCATATCGAGTTATACTTATTAATATCGAGGTATCGAGTTATACTTATTATAAAACCAAGGTTGGTTGGTTGTGTGTGTATGTGTGTGTTCGTTTATATATGGGATCGGATTTCCTACACTTTTCAACCGATTTCATCAAAACTTCACTTTTTTTTGTCAGGTAGTGTTTCTTATTGTCTTGCACACTTTTTTCTTTATTTTTACATTCATAAGGCTTTAAAAATTCCATTTACAAGACAATTGTTTATAATAAAATTCTATTCAATCGGTAGACTCATAACGATTGAAAACAATGTTTTTGTTTGAGTTTGGGTTTGACCAATTCGTAAAAAAAATAAAACTAATTAAGACATGCCTGTCCGTCAACCTTAAACAATAATCTTTGTCAATTTTATTTTTCAGTCTTTATGATGGTCGATACTTGATATATCTCTTACTGTTACATCCCCGGGCAACGCTGGGTTCTACTGCTAGTCTTGAATAGTTTCGAAAATTATCCTTGAATAATCTTCTACACAGATGAAAATAATGCGTACACAAACAGAGGCAATGGCCGTATTCTGGCTTCAGATCCTTACGAGAGAGACAAAATGCTACATCCAAGTGCAAAACCCTGTCAAGGCAATGGTTTTTGCCCGTGTGCCATCTGATAGCTAGAAGATTGCCACTGATCATGTTTGAGAAGGATGAGACATCCTAAAGAATTATTACTGAATTGGAACAAAAATTTAACATATATTTCGCTTTCAGAAGGACATGAGCATTACCATGCCGGCTACAATGTGACTCATGAAATTAAAAAAAAAACTATGGCTCCTTTCTCATAGATGAAATATTGAAAGCATCTCGGTATTCTATACCTATTAGTATCTCATGTGTTCAGACGAGCTAAATTGATTTGTTCCACCAATTCAAACTTTCACAGGTAGTAACAGTCATACTACGTACAATGTGGTGAAGCATCGACACCCGCTTTGTATTCCCCTGGCAAGGGCTAAGTTCCAATCTAACAACTTCTTTTCAAGTTTTGGGACAGCCATTACCTATCTTAAAGTATACTTATAATAGACACTTCTTACGTCTAGGTTCTCTGTGGGAGTTTCAGATGCTCGTAAGCAATGAGGATCACATTATGGTGTTGTTTTTCCTGCGGGGCATCAGGTTCAGCGTTACCGCCTATTTAAAGGTGTGAGATAAGGTGTTCAAGCTCTGACATGGGCATGACATATTAGTTAAACTCCAAAATGTGGTATCGCAGATGTCATTTTAATTCCGTGGGATATGATGTGTAGGGCATTGTGAAGAGCGAAACAAACTCACGGCTACACAGTCCAAAAGTCTCTTTGAAGGCTACCAGAAATTATGGCAAATATTAACAGGAAAGAACTTATCTGGGCATGCAGGTGCTTTCAATGTCTTTCAATGTTTTTCAGTGCCTTTCAATTTATTGAAAGACATTGATTTTCAATGCGTTTCAATGTTTTTTAATGCCTTTCAGTGCCTTTCAATCTTTCATGGCATTTCAATGTCATTCAATGTCTTTCATTCTTTTATTGTCTTTCAATGCCTATCAATGCCTTTCAATGCCTTTCAATCTTTCCTTGTCTTTTAATGCCTTTCAACGCCTTTCATTGCCTTTCAATGCCTTTCAATGTTTTTCAATGCCTTTCAATGTAATTCAGTGCCTTTCAATCTTTCATTGTCTTTCAATGCCTTTCAATTCCTTTCAACGCCTTTCATTGCCTTTCAATGCCTTTCAATGTTTTTCAATGCCTTTCAATGTAATTCAATGTCTTTCATTGCCTTTCAGTGTCATTCAGTGCCTTTCGATCTTTCATTGTCTTTCAATGCCTTTCAATTCCTTTCAATGCCTTTCATTGCCTTTCAATACCTTTCAATGTTTTTCAATGCCTTTCAATGTCATTCAATGTCTTTCATTGCCTTTCAGTGTCATTCAGTGCCTTTCAATCTTTCATTGTCTTTCAATGCCTTTCAATTCCCTTCAATGCCTTTCATTGCCTTTCAATGCCTTTCAATGTAATTCAGTGCCTTTCAATCTTTCATTGTCTTTCAATGCCTTTCAATTCCTTTCAATGCCTTTCATTGCCTTTCAATGCCTTTCAATGTTTTTTCAATGCCTTTCAATGTAATTCAGTTTTCAATGCCTTTCAATGCCTTTCAATGCCTTTCATTGCCTTTCAATGCCTTTCAATGTTTTCAATGCCTTTCAATGTAATTCAGTTTTCAATCTTTCATTGCCTTTCAATGCCTTTCATTGCCTTTCAATGCCTTTCATTGCCTTTCAATGCCTTTCAATGTTTTTCAATGCCTTTCAATGTAATTCAGTGCCTTTCAATCTTTCATTGTCTTTCAATGCCTTTCAATTCCTTTCAATTTTTCATTGCCTTTCAATGCCTTTCAATGTTTTTTCAATGCCTTTCAATGTAATTCAGTGCCTTTCAATCTTTCATTGTCTTTCAATGCCTTTCAATTCCTTTCAATGCCTTTCATTGCCTTTCAATGCCTTTCATTGCCTTTCAATGCATTTCAATGTTTTTCAATGCCTTTCAATGTAATTCAGTGCCTTTCAATCTTTCATTGTCTTTCAATGCCTTTCAATTCCTTTCAATGCCTTTCATTGCCTTTCAATGCCTTTCATTGCCTTTCAATGCCTTTCAATGTTTTTCAATGCCTTTCAATGTAATTCAGTGCCTTTACATCTTTCATTGTCTTTCAATGCCTTTCAATTTCTTTCAATGCCTTTCATTGCCTTTCAATGCCTTTCAATGTTTTTCAATGCCTTTCAATGTAATTCAGCCTTTCAATCTTTTTGTATTTCAATGCCTTTCATTGCCTGTCAATTTTCATTGCCTTTCAATGCCTTTCCTTTCAATGCCTTTCAATGTTTTTCAATGCCTTTCAATGTAATTCAGTGCCTTTCAATCTTTCATTGCCTTTCAATGCCTTTCAATTCCCTTTCAATGCCTTTCATTGCCTTTCAATGCCTTTCAATGTTTTCAAATGCCTTTCAATGTAATTCAGTGCCTTTCAATCTTTCATTGTCTTTCAATGCCTTTCAATTCCTTTCAATGCCTTTCATTGCCTTTCAATGCCTTTCAATGTTTTTCAATGCCTTTCAATGTAATTCAGTGCCTTTCAATCTTTCATTGTCTTTCAATGCCTTTCAATTCCTTTCAATGCCTTTCATTGCCTTTCATTGCCTTTCAATGCCTTTCAATGTTTTTCAATGCCTTTCAATGTAATTCAGTGCCTTTCAATCTTTCATTGTCTTTCAATGCCTTTCAATTCCTTTCAATGCCTTTCATTGCCTTTCAATGCCTTTCAATGTTTTTCAATGCCTTTCAATGTAATTCAGTGCCTTTCAATCTTTCATTGTCTTTCAATGCCTTTCAATTCCTTTCAATGCCTTTCATTGCCTTTCAATGCCTTTCAATGTTTTTCAATGCCTTTCAATGTAATTCAGTGCCTTTCAATCTTTCATTGTCTTTCAATGCCTTTCAATGTTTTTCAATGCCTTTCATTGCCTTTCAATGCGCTTTCAATGTTTTTCAATGCCTTTCAATGTAATTCAGTGCCTTTCAATCTTTCATTGTCTTTCAATGCCTTTCAATTCCTTTCAATGCCTTTCATTGCCTTTCAATGCATTTCAATGTTTTTCAATGCCTTTCAATGTAATTCAGTGCCTTTCAATCTTTCATTGTCTTTCAATGCCTTTCAATTCCTTTCAATGCCTTTCATTGTCTTTCAATGCATTTAAATGTCATTCAATGACTTTCAATGTCTTTCATTGTCTTTCAATGTCATTCAGTGTCCTTTAATGCCTTTCGTTATCTTTCAATGCCCTATCGAAGTCGTCCTCTAGGATTAGACAAATCTTATTAATTTATTATTTGAAGTTTTCATTTTAAGTTAAACATTCTTCAGAAAATAAATTGTTTTCCATCTTATTGACGTTATGTACATTATTTACACTATTTACATTCGGACTATTATCCTCATCTTGGTTGATATTATCAAAATGTTTCGGCCATTGTGCCCTCCGGGCTTCATCAGTTGTATATCGATCCTGGAAACCTAAAACAGGATTCTTAACTGAACCCTTTATTAAATCTACGGGTGTAAACCGTTCTCGTTTTACTGCACATGTCGAGGGATATCATCTCGTTAATTTTTATTTATTTACTACTGTTCAGTTATTGTTCTCTCGTTTCTACTTGAGTGCCAGTCCGTATTTACCAGCCCAGGCATTGAACTCCTAACTACTATGTAAACATTAGATGCCTATATTTCACATCAGAAGCTTTTACTTGTTTGGCGGATAGGTAAATATTGGTGGTATATATTTGAGATTATAAGCATTTATTTAGTTTGGACTTAATTAAATACAGTAGTTATATTGCCTTCACCTTTGTTGTCGTTATCTAGAGGGATTTCTGAACTGAACTAAACACTTTATTTAATCTACAGAGGTAGACTGTTCTCGTTTTCACTGCCGATATCGTCCAGTTCTTATTTTTAGTACTGTTCACTTGCTGTCGCGCTGTTTCCACTGAGTCCAAATATACACTACCCGGCCAAGGGATTGAATCCACATTCAGGAACAATCGCTTTAATCTTTCTCCAATTGTCACGTAGGACAATTACTTGTATAAATCTTGTTTTTCTTCCCTTGATGATCTTTCCTTTTCTTTATATTAAAAGTAGTTATCACTTAACTGGCACACCGGATATAAAAAAGAAAAGCTAGTGTAAATAAATGTTTACCTTTTTACTTGGGTATATAATGGTCAACGTTTACTTTCGACTCAAATATAAAAGAGACAAATATGTACCTTTTTATAAGAAAATATCGCTCGAACCAATGTTTCTTGGGTTGGAACAAAATTTCGTTGTGTACGTTTTGAAAACCTCATTTTGTTTCACATGGTACTGAAATTTATGTCATATTATATGTAAAGATGTAAGCAAGTGACCACTTTTTGAAATATATTAGTTATATAGGAATAACGTGTAGTTGTCGACACTTCAGTTTGAACATAGATCGCCAGTGAGCAAACACAGGTGATCCCATTATTGAATTAAGTGGATCACGTGAACATAGAGGAAACGCATACACAGGAAGTCGCGTGACGTCTAGATGGATCTGCATTTCTTCTCTATTAATATACGGAGCGCTATTCTCTATTTTATTCACTATATTATTTCTCTATTCAGATCACTATACGAATTACTATTCAAGCGAATATTATCAAGCAAGTACTATTAGTGCGAGTGTTATTCGAAGGCGTCTGACACCAGTATTGTTCAACAGCGTTACGATAGTTGTATCTGCGATTACAAAGTCTCTACTACAATGAGCATTACAAAAGGGACAACGAGTATTCGTTAGCATCAGAAAAGTGTCAAACGCGTATTCTTTGACATTACAAAAGTATTTTTCCCAAAAGTTACATTTTACCGCGTTTTACGATACTATTCATGTTAGGATTGAGAATTTCAATTGTTTTTAGGTAAACTCTAAATAGACAAAAATAGCTACATTTTCCTCATTTGACTTTTTTTTTTTAATTTAGAAGACGAAAAAAAATACTTTACAACCAAGAATAATATATGCGCCGTTTATGGATATGGTGCCATAGCTATTCGTAAGTTCAAGAAGTGGAGAAGTGGAGAAGATTTGGCACAAGGCCGAGTTTTACGTGGGTTTTCCGATCCCGTAGGTTCAGCCAAAAAATGCCCGTAGAAACTGTAAGAACAGAATCGGGTTGGTCGACCTCCACGAACAAGGCTCTACATTTCGGCGGAGCCTCGTCCGGGTTCCTCTCTGCGCAGAGGCAGAGAGTTCGACCGTCAAGCCAAGAATTCGGTATCTAGCCCCCCCCTTCCCACGTGGGTTGCATGTGGCACAAGGCCGAGTTTAACGTGGGTTTCCCGTAGGCTTGGCCAAAAAATGCCCGTAGAACCCGTATAAATGGGATCGGGTTTGTCAACCGCCCCGAACGAGACTCTGCCCTTCAGCGGAGCCTCGTCCGGGTTCCTCTCTGCTCAGAGGCAGAGAGTTCGACCGTCGAGCCGAGAATTCGTCCCTCTCTCTCTTGAGAGGCGTAGTATACACAGTGTTAGGAAGAGTTCATTCTGTAGTTAGAGGTAAGGACACGTGACACTATGTAAATTCGGATTTCTCTGCTATATTTTCTGGCATCTGTTACTATAATACGCAAATCATTCAATTTCTGGAACCGTTTACTTTTCAACTTCCCAATAAATAACTCATAACTTTATCGGTTTTTTTTACTGGCAGTCATTCATTGTTATCTCTTACTGTCAATGGTTAATCTTTTATTCTTGTTATTCGTGAAGAACATGTCTTTTAATTCATTCTTTGGAAAATATTTGAGCAAAGACGGCATTCATTCTCGTTTTATACACTATAAAAAAATTATGAATTTTTATTCGGTTCTAAATACGTGATTCTGGGACTTGCATGTCCCTGTGGTAATGAAGACCATATCTATACGTCTTGGGAATTGGACAATTTACTGGAAAAGAAACTGAACAGTTTTGATCTAAAAAGATTTCTATTGAGTTTTTTGGCAAAATGTACTTTCCTCTCTCTCTCACATATTCTCTCTCTCTCTCTCTCTCCATATATATATATATATATATATATATATATATATATATATATATATATAATAAAAGGCTTAAACACTAATATTCCATGGTTGTAATTTATTACATTGGAATCGTAAATACGATCCAATTCATCAGACCTACAAATTAAAAAAGAAACCAGAAAAAAATAACTTGAACAACGATGAAGTTCTAGAAAAAAATAGAAACAAAAGTAACACCTATAGTTAACATCAGAAAGAGACATTTGATATTTCTGGGGTACATAATGAGGAAAAAGGTATTGGAAAATTTGATACTCACAGGATAGATTGAAGATAAGAAGCGCAGAGGAATGAAAAGCATAACTGGTCTTGCCAACTTGAGTAAATTGATGATGAAGCAGGGTTTAGAAGAGAAGGCAAAAAGATTATTAAACGCTACAAAGGACAGAAAACGTTTGGGAGCCATGATGGCCAACGTCTTGACGGGACAAGGCACAATGAAAAAGTTAATT